CCTGGCTTACTTCACTTAATATAATTTTTTCCAAGTCTTTCCATTTCCTAACAAATGGGGCAATGTCATTCTTTCTGATGGAGGCATAGAAGTCCACTGTGTATATATACCACATTTTCTTGATCCATTCATCTACTGAGGGGCATCTGGGTTGGTTCCATATCTTAGTTATGGTAAAAAATGCTGCAATAAACATAGTTGTGCTGGTAGCTTTAGTGTGGTCTTGTTTGTGATCATTCAGGTAAATGCCCAAAAGTGGGGTTGCTGGGTCATAGGGGATGTTTACTACAGTTTTAGAGGAGATAACTATATGTAATGTAATGTAATATGTAATGTAAATGAGCTCTCAAAAATCTTGTAATTGTGTTATCTTAGGTAAGAGAAATTTGGCACTGTAGCCCAAATAGTTTTTTTGTTTTTGTTTTTCCAGTCCTGGGCCTGTCCCTGAGCTTCTTTTGCTCAAGGATAGCACTCTACCACTGGAGCCACAGCACCACTTCTGGCTTTTTCTGTGTATGTGGTATTGAAGAATCAAACCCAGGCCTCATGCATGCTAGGTAAGCACTCTATCACTGAGCCACATGCCCAGCCTAAGTAGTTTTAAACCAATCTTACCTTGTTTGGGATGTGATGCATTTTAGGACTTGGAATTTGATAAACGTTTCTGCACATAGATATCAGTCATTGCATTGAAGGCTGGTTGATATCTTGGCTATTGTAAACAGTGCTGCTGTAAACCTGGGTGTTCAGGTATCTCTCTTTGTACTGATTTCTGTTCCTTCGTGTATATATAGCAGTATTATAAGATAATTCTATTGTCTGCATTTTTAGGAACCTACGTATTTTTTTCCAGTAGTAGTTGAACTGACATTCCCACCCACAGTGTCAGCGTTTGTCATACCTGTCATTATTCCTTATCATTTGTTCTTGTGACAATGATCCCTGACTAAGCTGAGAGGAAATGCCAGTGTCGTTTTGATTTGCATTTTTCATGGCTAAAGCGGGCTACAGATGTCATGTATTTATTATTTGTACTTGTTTTGAAAAATGTCCGTGCGGTTCATTTGCCTCTTTGTTCCTTGGATTATCCATCCCTTTGGTATTCGATGTGTGGGCTTTTTATGTGTTCTAGATACCCTGGGGCAGCGAGGGGGCTCGGGCGCTGTGCCCACAGGCCCTGAGCGGCAGGTCGCGACTCGCAGGGAGGACGCAGGGCTGGCTGTGCCCCTCCGTCCTGCCTTTGGAGCTGTCCCATCGCGAGCCCCTCAGCCAGCCCACAGCTTCCCGGCAGGTCGCGGACAAGGTGCTGTGTGTGCAGCCACCCTAAGACAACAGGACTCGCTCTCGAGGGGCCGCTGGGCCACCAGTCCGCACGCTGTGTCCTCCTCATTCCCAGTTGCCTACGCGTCTCTGCGGGCCCCATGCTACCCTCTCCCGCTCCGTCACCTCCCTCAAGGCTGACACCATGAGAAGGAGTCCCAGGATTCCCAGCCAGTGGTCATCCTTGATTTGCAGAGTAACTTAGGTGCAAACCCCGCAGCCTGTGGCTGGCAGGCAGTTCCTAGAACCACTGCACCCCGCCGCGGCCTGGGGCTCTGCTTCCCTTAGGATCCTCAGGAAACAGGGCTGAGTCCAGCCAGGAAGGATAGCGCACCAAGCACTGTGCCCCGTGCCCGGGCCCGTCAGCCCCAGCTGCTGTTAACTCTTCTGTGGCCCCACGTGGGCCCTGGCCCTCGCAGCACCCCCACCAGGAACATGTGCTGCCCAACGGGACCCCTGAGTGATAGCTCTCAGGTTTGGATTTCCCAGCACAGGCCAACCTCCAACCACCCTGGTGACCGCCCAGCCAGCAGCCCAGCCGCGGCGCTGGGGGGCTCGGGCTCAGGTCCCTCAGTGCAGACTCTGCTTCCCTTCCTCCCAGACCTGCTGGCCGGGAGCTAACACTGATCTGGAGGGGCTGTTTCCAGACCCCCGAGGTATCTCAGCCTCAGACCCCACGGCCGGGAGTCAGTTCCTGAAACCACAGTGCCAGAAGGTCCCGATGGCAGAGCCACCCCCCCCCCGCCCCGACCCCGCACAGGGTGAAGGGTGGAGGCTTTGGCCTCCCTCCTCTCTGACGCTCTGAGAGTAGGCGCAGAGCTGTAACCCTGTCCTGTCTACTCTCACCTTTCTATTCTGCCACCGTTTCCAGTCATCCTCCCCTCCCCCACTCCTTGGTGGTTTTCTTCTTTCTCCCTTCTGAACACAGTCTACTTTTCTTACCTGGATTGTTCCCATTCATGGAATCTGGCATCAAAAGCCTCTCCTCAAACATCTTGCTAGAACTTCTTTTTCTTAAGCAGTAATATTTCCCTAGATTCTGAATGAAGAAAGTATGCTACTTTAGTGCCACACCCACGGAAAAAGAATGTGATTTTCTGTGTATGTTCCCTTAGTGTAGTATTCTCTTGTCTTGCATACTGTTTTTCTATGCAGGCTACCTAAAATCAGCTCAAAAAAAATAATTGGGTGAATGAGTTATGTCTTTAGGATCAAGAGTATTTTATATAAACAGTTCACCAACATGGCCATTAAGTATGTCAACCAGTCCCACAGTTGAAAACGCACGTGGAACTTGTGATTTTCACCTAATGTAGTGACCCGTGGCCTGCTTCTGCCCAGAAGCTTGATAGATAATGGAAAGAGTCCACCAACAGGTATTTCACATATCCTAAATACAATGTTCAGCCAAAATGTGCATGAATTCTGAGATCACTTCTTATGGCCACATGGAGTTTCCCAGAGAGACGGATGGTTGGTTCAGAGGTGCTGAGTGCTGGAGCCCTGGACACTGGAGCTCGGGACAGGGGCACATGGTGGCTACACCTGACTTCATCTTAGGAAGTGAGGCATGGCACAGCATCTCCACCTTTGTTAGCATTTCTTTTTTTTTTTTTTTTTTGTCAGTCGTGGGGCCTGAACTCTGGGCCTGGGCGCTGTCCCTCAGCTCTTCAGCTCAAGACTAGCGCTCTACCACTTGAGCCACAGCACCAATTCCAGCTTTTTCTGCTGAGCTGATGTGGTGCTGAGGAATTGAACCCAGGGCCTCAAGCATGCAAGGCAAGCGCTCTACCACTGAGCCACCTTCCCAGCTCCCTTTGTTAGCATTTCTCTCCCCTGCTAATGACACTGTTTGTGTTCTTCATACATACATTTTGACTTAATTTTGTCAGAGTTCTGTATATGTTTATGGTAATCAATAACAAAATGTACTATTATCTGTATACACTTTATGCATTAATGACATAGCAACTTTTTCACAATCGTTTTCAGCATTTCTCGGCTACATACATGGTGTATCACTGAGCCTTATCAAAATGTTTTTCAGGAAATTTATTGAAACAATCTCCTTGTAAGTGGACAATCCTGTGATGCTTAGAGGCCCCTTCTAGTCTATATTTTCTGAACCCCAATAGTCATTTTGCAGTGTTTGGATGGGAAGAGCTGGGGAAGTGGCACTTTGGAGAATCAAAGGTCGAGCTGAGGCAGGGCTGCTCATTGTCTTCATTGCGTTGGAGGCAAAACCAACAATGGTTACAAATAAAGATCTAATTCATGTTTCCTGGGCTCAAAATCAACTTGACATCTTTCTTCATAAGACCATTTGATTATCACACATGCCTCAGTTTCCTTCCCTGCGGATTGTGTATATGAGAACAGTAGTGTCAGCCCAACTTCCTGGGTGCTGGGGCTGAACGAGGCGGAGCGCATGCCCAAGGCCAGCTGAGTGACGGTGGGCGCTCCGTGAGCGTCTCCTCTGCCAGTTAGGAGTATCGTTCCCTAGACAATGGATGGCGCCAACGGCAGCACCCCAGACCACTTCATCCTCCTGGGCTTTTCTCACAGCCCCCAGCTGGAGAGGACGCTCTTTGTGGTCATCTTGATAGCCTACCTCCTGACCATTGTGGGCAACGCCACCATCGTGCTGGTGTCGCGGCTGGACCCCCACCTGCACACCCCCATGTACTTCTTCCTCACCCACCTCTCCTTCCTGGACCTCAGCTTCACCACCAGCTCCATCCCTCAGCTGCTCTACAATCTCAGCGGACCGGACAAGACCATCAGCTACGCGGGCTGCGCCGTCCAGCTCTTCCTGTTCCTGGGGCTCGGGGGCGTGGAGTGCTTGCTGCTGGCCGTCATGGCGTACGACAGGTTTGCCGCTGTCTGCAGGCCGCTGCGCTACTCGGTGATCATGGGTCCCGGGCTCTGCCGGGGCTTGGTGTCGGTGGCCTGGGGGTGCGGCATGGCCAACTCCTTGGTCATGTCCCCCGTGACCCTCCGCTTGCCCCGCTGCGGACACAGCCAGGTGGACCACTTCCTGTGTGAGATGCCGGCTCTCATCCGCATGGCCTGTGTCAGCACGGCCGCCGTGGAGGGCGCCGTCTTCGTGCTGGCCGTGGGCATCGTGCTGTCCCCGCTGCTGTTCATCCTGGTCTCCTACGGCTACATCGCCGGGGCCGTGCTGCGCATCCGCTCTTCGTCGGGAAGGCAGAAGGCCCTGAACACGTGCGGCTCCCACCTCACGGTGGTCTCGCTCTTCTACGGAAACATCATCTACATGTACATGCAGCCGGGGAACAGCGCCTCCCAGGACCAGGGCAGGTTCCTCACCCTCTTCTACAACATTGTCACCCCGCTTCTCAACCCTCTGATCTACACGCTCAGAAACAAGGAGGTGAAGGGGGCCCTGAGAAGGCTGCTGCGGGGCCACAGCAAGCCCAGGAAGGAATGAGGAGAGACGCCGGCGCGGGCACCCCGGCCTGGGTGTCACCGCCCTCAGGGGCGTGGGGGGCCTCGGCCCTGCGGGGTCAGACCCCGTGAGCCTTGGCTTGTTTGCCTCTCCTGGACTTCATACCGCTGTGTTCCTTCCAGCATTCCACGTGTGTCCGCCGAACCCTCGTCCCAACGATCGTCTATACAGTGGTCCAGGTGAGATAACTGGTCACGTGTGAGCTCCCACCAACTTGTACCAGTGTGCCAAGTAGGAGACAAGTTTTCTTAGAGTTTTGTTTTTGTCGTTGGTTTTCATTTCCTCCACAGTATTGTAGATGTCCTCTTCAAAATGGCCCCCAATCCGTCCGTGCTCAAGACCCACAGGCTCTTCACTGAACATTGAATTCAGCAAGTGTCTGTTCCCAAACTCCCACCCAGAGCCTCTCAGACAATCAATCATTTTCTAGCCATTCACCCCCGACCTTTGGCATTTTTCCCAACATTTAGTGTAAGATTCTGGATAAGCCAAAAGATAATATGTGTTCTCATACATAGGCCTTAAAAATGAGAAAGCGTCATTGTGTATTTCTTCTCAGCCGTTGTTGGAAGCCTGTGTGATTCTTACCACTCTCCTTGAATCCACTTGGTACCTCAGACTTGGATGCTAAATCCGTGGTTCAAAAAGAGTTGATTAGCCTGACTCCTGGTTCCCGCAGCGACCGCCACCACATGAACGTTGAAAGAGCAAAAATCCTTGAGCATTTGGCAAGTAGTGTCAAAGATCATTTCATCTCAAGAGCACCACAGACTGTGGTCCAGGCCTCTCCGTCTTCAAGAACACACAGATTGCCTGAGATTGGGGACATAGGCTACAGCTCTGTGTACTTGTGACCTTGCCTTCTGCGTGTCTCCCAGTGTGCCCGCCCAGGTCTCCCACACCACATTTTCAGGCTGTAGGAAAAATACCACACACTGCTATCTTTACAGGTGCTTCAAGGCACCGAGCACCCAGGACTAAAGGCAGCCAGGAGCAGGCAGGGGCACGCGTCTGTTCCCTCCCTCAGCCCCAGCCCTGGCCCGGGATCCCTGCCCTTCCACCCCACCCTGCGCTCCACACGGGAGAGGCGCAGAGCCGTGGGAAAGAGGAGCCGGGGCTTCAGAGGCCCTAGTCTGAAAAGGCACCTTTCTGTTTTTAACACAATCTCAGTCTCCGGATGTGGGGTACAGATGTTCCTGTATTTGACACTTGGAGGTGCAGAGTTTTTCCTCCTGGCCACCATGTCCTATGACCGCTATGCGGCCATCTGCCATCCGCTCCGGTACCCCGTCCTCCTGAGCTGCAAGGCCTGTCTGGTCCTGGCACTGGGCTGCTGGGTCCTGGGCTCTGTGGACGGCTTCATGCTCACCCCAGTCACCATGACCTTCCCATTCTGCAAGTCCAGAGAGATCCACCACTTCTTCTGCGAGGTGCCCGCGGTCCTGAAGCTCTCCTGCTCAGACACCTCGCTCTACAAGACGCTCATGTACCTGTGCTGCGTCCTCATGCTGCTCATCCCTGTCACAGTCATCTCCACCTCCTATGCGCTGGTCCTCCTCACCGTGCACAGGATGAAGTCAGCAGAGGGCAGGAAGAAGGCCCTGGCCACCTGCTCTTCCCACATGACCGTGGTCCTTCTCTTCTACGGCGCTGCCATCTACACCTACATGCTCCCCAGCTCCTACCACACCCCTGAGAAGGACATGGTGGTGTCTGTCTTTTACACCATACTCACACCGGTGTTAAACCCTCTGATCTACAGTCTTCGGAACAGCAGTGTCACCAGGGCTCTGAAGAAAACATTCACAGTGAGACCTTCCTTTCAGGAAACAATGAAGTAGGGAATTTTAGTCTGAATGGCTTCCTTTCCTTCTCTCCACCATCTTCTGTTCACGGTCTTATGCTATTGTTTCTCCTCTGGCTTTCCAAGAATTGCTTCATTGTACTGCAAAGTTCTTCCATTCCAAACTCCTTTCCCTTTTCAAAATCTTTACACAATTGCATTGTAGTGATACTATAGCTTCTGGTTACAATAAGTGCTCTCTAATACTTTCTCATCTCTTCTGACTAGAAAACCCATAATCAGATATTTGAAGAAAACAATAATGAGGTGGTCAACTGATAAGAAAGTATTCCGAGTGATAGAGCAAAAAGAGTAGGAGTGTTAACAGTGGGAGAATCTTCATGAAGGATTATGGGCATTGATTCTACTCTCTATTTTGATGCTCATTTCCTATGAAGTTGAAACTACACAGAAATAAAGAGCTCAATATCAGGTTTTGTTGTGCTGTCTGCTTTTAGCATACTAGTAGTATGACATAGACCCCTTGGGTACTGCTCACTCCAGTGTGCCAGACTGTGACTGAGATACTCAGTTGTTGGCCTGTGCTCATTCAAGGCTAACTTTTTCTGAAGAGTCCAACCGGGAAGGCAGCTAAAATCCCCTTTATCCTGTAATAGCATGAGCATGCAAAACCGTATGAGAGAATGTAAGAAAATAGTAACCCTGGGTGAATGGACAAAGTAGAAAGATTTGTCTACATGAGGTGCCAACATCTGAACAAAATGTGAAGTACACACCTTGTACAATTGAACAGATGATTAAGAATCACATATAGTCAACCATTTCTTTGTTCAACACATATCTTCTATTATAGCAAAACTCATATACAGGATACTAAAATCTGTATATTTGTGAAATACATACGCATGAATCCATAATTTGTATACATTTACCTGTTTACAATATTCTGTAGCTAATTTACTCAATAGTACCCATAAAACCATTTTGATGAATCTCCTAGTCAATTGAATCAAATTAATGAATCGGATTAATTGTTTTTTTTCTGATAATTGCCTTGCTGATTCCAGGGACTCTTCCTATTCATTTGTTGACAGCTTAAAGCCTTCATGATCTTGGTTCAAACATTGGTTATCTAGACCTTTCCTTCCCAACTCCACCCACCTTTCCCATTTGTTTGTTCCAAATACTGCTTATATCTTTCTTTCCAAATCTCTCCTGGCTAACTACAACGGCACAGTTCTGCAGCCTCCTCTCTGCCACTCTACCCTTGGCAGCCTGGTTTTTTGTTGTTATCATGGGTGTCCAAGACCTCATATCCATGGAAGTCACAGATGCTTGCCAGAAAACTAACTGAGCCCTGATCTTGCAAGCTGTGTCTTGTTAAACATCATCTCGTTAAACATCATTACCAAGTGCAGGGTCACACCCAGCAGACTGCCCGTCACCAATAAGAACAATCTAGACTTCATTGCACATTCTCGGTGGGTGTTCTGAGAACCACCGCGGTAGCTCTCATTTAGGGGGGCATTCAGCGAGTTGAGCAAACACCGTGAGGTAGGCAGAGGCGTCCCACGGGGGAGGAGGTGGGAGCAGCAGAGGTGAGCCAGCCCGCTGACCAAGGACACCGCCCCTGCGTGTCCAGGCGTGGGGTGGGGAAAGCCAGTGAGTCAAAACCCCAGTCTCAGTGTCTGCTGCTGTTCTCAACACGGCCGTGTCTGAGTCAGGGGTGTGGGGAACTTCTCCACGCCCAGCAAGCAGCAGGTTCCGAAGCAGGGGCCCAGAGGAGAGCCATTCCTTCCGTTGAGTTCCGGCTGTCCCTCTCAGCCAGGACCTGCAGACCTGCAGGCTGACAGATCCTGGGCCGACCTCGTGAGAGCCCAGTGTGCTTCACCTGGCTCCTGACCAGTCAGTGTAGATCAGACGTGCTGGCTCATTACACAGACAGCGGGCACAGACAGGAGAGGGTTCGGGGCCATGGGGAGGGAGTGGGCTTCTCACCTTCCGTGGCCGCCTTCCAGGATCCTCCTGGGCGCAGCTCTCCGGAAGCATCAAATCCTGTCCTGGGGAGTTTGCTGGACATTTCATAGGAGTCACAGGCCTGGCGGTGCACCTGGCCACGGGCGGCCAGGCTCTCGGTGGGCAGGGGACTCCTCTCCTCTCCTCTCCTGCCGTGGGCTTTCCAGGGGCCGGCAGGGGCAGCCAATCATCCGTTTTCAGAAAGACGGTGTCACCAGGGAGATTCTAAGGCCTTCACGAGTTGTCGGGGAAGTGGAACAAAACAAATGTGTATTCCACCACCTTGCAGGGAGCTGCACAGCCCTCGCAGACCCGCCTCGGAAAGCTCTCTCAGCCGCTGCGGGTGGCGGGCGCAGACACCCCTCTCTGCGGCGACCTGCTGGAGAGGCCTGAGAAAACCCTTTGCGGCCAGTCTCAGGACATAAATGCTTTTGCTTAAGGTTAGCTCTCCAGCTCGCCACAGCTACACTTCTGGCTTGTTGGTGGTTAACTGGAGACAAGAGTAGTTGAATGGCTGTGATCGTCTCTGCCTCCTGAATAGCTGAATTACAAGTGTAAACCAAAGGTGTGCCTTTCTAAGGAGCTTTCTCAGGAGGAGAGAGAGAGCTAGTCTAAAATTGGAGATGGGGCAGAGAGGAGCCCTGACGAATGATTTTTCTTAGTTAAATGATCAGTAGAGGGAGTTAAAATTGAAGCCCCATAAGAGTAAAATTGGTGACTGATAACAGTCACTAGCTCATGGAGAAGGGGGAAGAATATTGATAGATATTATTCCCATTTTATGATATTATTCCCATTTTTATTCCCAGTGTGAGCTGGACTATGCTTCATTTTTCTCTGAAATCAACAGAATGTTTGAAAAATAAATCCAGACCAAAAAACACCAAAGTTTAAGTTCTGAGGCTGTTCATCTGTTGTTTTTATAACTTTAATGATAGTCACTTGTAGCTGGGCACCAGTGGCTCACACCTATAAGCCTGGCTACTCAGGAAGCTGAGATCTGAGGATTGCAGCTTGAAACCATTACAGTTCTAATCCGTCCCTAAGCAGAAAAGTCTGTGAGACTATTAGCTCTAATTAACCACCAAAAAAACAAAAGCCGAGCTGTGGCTCAAGTGGTAGAGTGAGTGCTAGCCTTGAGCCAAAGAAGCTCAGGGACAGTGCCCTGAGTTCAAGCCACATGGCCAGCACACACACAAAAAGAATGAAGATGAAGAGAGGGAGGGGGAGGAGGAAGGGAGAGAAGGGGGGAGGAAGAGGAGGAGGAGGAGGATGACGAGGAAAAGAAAAATAATATTCTAGCACTTATCACTGCGGCTGTTGACAGTTTCTTGGGCCACTGAGCAGAGAAGAAACAAACGGAAAACATGAAGGAAATGGAGCTGTATAACCAAGAGGCCCTGTTCCCCGGTAGCAGGGTAGATATGTCCCATAGAATAACAGTGTTCAAAGCCGGGCACTGGTGGCTCACACCTGTCATCCTACTCAGGAGTCTGAGATCTGAGGATTGTGTTCAAAGCCAGCCCAGGCAAGAAAGTCCGTGAGACTCTTATCTCCAATTAACTACCAGAAAACTGGAAGTGGCGCTGTGGCTCAAGTGGTAGAGCTCAAGCCTTGAGCTGAAGAGCTGAGGGTCAGTGCCCAGGCCCAGAGTTTAAGCCCCACGACCGATTAAAAAATAATAATAACAGCATTCAAGGGAGCTGGGGGACATATCCATTTTCTCTACCAAGAATATTATTGAAAGGAATTTTTTTCCTTTTTTTTTAAGGGATAATCTCAGTCTCAGCCTTGTATGACAAAATCTGCAGTGCTCCACAGATACCTGAATGGAGAAGGGATACAAAAACCAAATTCCCAGTCATTGGCGTCAATCTTTCGGTAAGTCCAAGAAATCTGGAGAAAACTGTGCCACCTGTGAGTCTGTAATTCAGCACAGGGGAGGCGCTGTGAGTGATGGCAGGCTGAAGCCCTTGAAAATGGCCACAGAGAGGAGGGGGCTGGGCCAGCGAGCCAGGGACAGCAGTGACCACTCTTCATTCCAGTCAGAGCGGCTGGCCAGCAGCACTGCATTACAGAATGGGCCCAGGAGTCCCTGGAGGCAGCCAACCGGTGCAGCCTGTTTTAGTCAGGCACCCCCGCCTGCACACGCATTGGTGGTGCATGCTTGCCAGCCTGTGCTTTGGCTGCCCTCTGCTGTCCAGTTCTAGACAGTGGGATTTTTGGGGGGTGGAGGGGTGGTTGTTCAATTAACTGAGGAAACGGGCTGGTGCACACTGCACCAAGATGAGCACGGCCGTATGCTGGGGCACGCACCTGTAATCCTAGCCATTTGGGAGGCTGAGAACTGAGGATCATGGTTTGAAACCACCCTGGGCAGAAAAGTCCCTGTGAGATGAGAGACAGACAGACAGACAGACAGAGGACTTCAAGGGCTGGAATAAATACCTGGACTTTCAACACACAGAATTTAGTGTGAATCAAGGAACAACAACCCTAAAGGAAGATGTATGATCATGGGAAGAATTTAAAATCAAATCACTGTTTTGAAGAAAAATCAATGTATTGGAGAAATTTGGCAACGAGATTAAAATAATTTAAAAATTCAAGTAGTGATTCTGGATATATATACATATATATAATGAAATATGCAATAGAAATTCTTTCCAGTTACACCTATAATTCAAGCTACCCAGAAGGATGGAATCTGAGAATCATGATTCAGAGCCAACACCGTGGACTAATTGAGACATAGCTAGTCAGTAGAGTACCAGACGTGAACATAAAAAGCTAAACAAGAAGATGAGGCCCTACGTCCTAGCTCCATTGCTGGTAGAAAATTAAAAATTAAAAAAATTATTTTCCCCATCAAAGTTTGATTTAGAAGCAAAATAGGAAGGAAAATCATGGGGCACATTTAAAAAACACAAAATTTGAATATGGTAACAAAAATTTAAGAAGTTTGCCCCACATCCTCTAGTTGCTAAGTTACAGAAAACTTTTAGACAAGGAATGATTAGG